TGTCTAAAATAGGAGAGATGAAATCTTGTCATCCTGGCTTCCAAAGAGCACTCTGGTTGTGCTTCGTCCAACACAGATGTGTTTGTTCTTCTGGTAGTCCATGGTACTTTTACTATTCTTCTCCAACATCATCACTCAAATACAGCAATTCTTCTGCAGTCTTCCTTATTCACTGTCCACTTTCACATGCATATGAAGCTATCGAAAATACCATGGCTTGGGTCAGGCGCACATTAGTCCTCAAACTGACATCTTTGCTCTTCAGCACTTTAAAGAGGTCTTGTGCTGCAGATTTGCCTACTACAATACATTGTTCGACTTTCTGACTGCTGCTTCCATGAATATTGATAGTGGATCTAGACAAAAGGAAGTCTTTGACAACTACAATTTTTTTCTCTATTTATATGGATGTTGTTTATTAGTCCAGTTGTGAGGACTTTTGTTTTCTTTACATTGAGGTATAACCCATACTAAAGACTGTGGTCTTTGATCTTCATCAGTAAGTATTTTAAACCCTCTTCATTTGCAGCAAGCAAGGTCATATCATCTGTATGTCACCAGTTGTTAATGAGTCTTCCTCTAATCCTTATACCATATTTTTCTTCATATATACCGGCTTCTTGGATTATTGGCTCAGCATACAGATTGAATAAGTATGCTGAAAGAATACAACCCTGTCACACACCATTCAGTGTCCCCTTATTCTGTTCAAACTACTGTCGCTTGGTTTATGTATAGGTTCTTCATGAGCAATACTCAGTCTCTGCAATGTGGTCCTTAGAGTGTTAGGATGTACACAGTGAAAAATCTTTGCACAGTCAATAAAGCACAGATAAACCTCTTTCTGGTATTATCTGCTTTTAGCCCAGATCCATCTGACGTCAAAAGTGATTGCCCTCGTTCCAACTCCTCTCATCTGAATCTGGTTTGAATTTTTGGAAGTTCCCTGTGAATGTATGGTTGTAGTCACTTTTGAATTATCTTTAGCAAACTTTTACTTGTATGTGATATTAATGATATTGTTGGATGGTTCCCACATTCCGTTGGGTCACCTGTCTTTGAAATGTACACAAATATGGATCTCTTCCAATCAGTTGGCCAGGTAGCTGTCTTCCAAATTTCTTGACATAGTTGAGTGAGTGCCTCCAGTGCTGCCTCAGTCTGTTGAAAGATACCAGTTTGTATTCCATCCATTCCCGGAGCCTTACTCTTTGTCAGTACCTTCGATGTCACTTGGACTTCCTTCACTGCCATTGGCTCTTGATCATAACGCTGTCTCTTGAAATGGTTGAACACTGACCTTTTCTTTTTGGTACAGCGACTCTGTATTCCTTCCATCTTCTTTTGACGCTTTCTGCATCATTCAGTATTTTGCCCAAAGAATCCTTCAGTCGAGCCTTGAATTTTTTCCTGAGTTCTCTCAGCTTGAGCAATGTTGAGTGTGATCTCTCTTTTGATTTTCTAACTCCAGATCTTTACACATTTCCTTTGGTGGTACAAATGGTTCATGTCAATCTGGTTCGAGCCTAGCCAGTGTCACCAAGGAAGAAAGGTCCAATAATGTGCTCCCCTAGAGAGCTGTAGGCCGGAAAACCCTGTGGACCAGTTCTGTTCTGATACATGTGATGTCACCATGAGTTGGAAACCATTCAATGGCATTTGAATGAATTTGTTGTTTCTTTTTGGTTTACTACTTGTTTCATGCCTTGACACAGTAATTGCTGCTCTTCCCTATTCCATGCCATTTTGAAGTAGTCAGCAGCAATCTCTGGTTATTGCCACGACTACATGTTTTCCTTAAGGTTTCTTAGGTATTTTGGAGAAAAGCATAACAGTAGGAGAGAAATACAGAACCCTAACTTTGGTATCTCAAGAGTCGTGTTGAGCATTGAGATCAGGTATATAAGGCCAAGAAGTGTGCATTGAAAAGAGTGCCTCTTGTCATAAAGCGGTGAGGGTCCTCAGTGCGCTTGGTGTCTGGCTTCATTTTCACATAGCAGGCGATAGATGACAGGAAGCTGGGTTCTGACTGACTGAATCATGGCTTGTGTTTCAGAGTGTGCGTGTGACTCATTTTGAGCAAAGGTGCAGTGTGACTCGTTAGAAAAGATGGGGAACTGGAGACGGAACTGCGCATGCTACCAGCAGGGGCTGTGACTGCCTGTGCCTGGGAGCAGGGCTGTGACGCTGCTCACTGGGGCATAGTGGTTGGCACTGCTTCACTCAGGTGGCTTCTGACCACTGTGCCGAGGGCCTGGGGCCGAGGCATAGCAAGCAGTGGCTATTGGGTTTGTTCGGACTCCTGGTGACCCTGTGTGTGTCAGGATCGAACTGCAGGGTTTTCAATGGTTGATTTTTGTCAGATCCACATCACCAGGGCTTTCTTCCTCCCTGGCCTGTGGGTGGACTTGGACCTGCAGCCTTTTGGTTAGCAGTTGAGTGTATGAACGGCACCACCGAGGGTCTCCATAGGAAGACAAAGTCCAGCTCAGCATGAAAAAGGCAGAACCTCTGCTTTGCTGTGGCTGAAGTTTCTCATGCACAGGACTCCCTCCAGATGGTCTCTGGACACACCTTATGCCTGGTCTTGACCCTTTCCAGCCAGGAGGCCTTCTCCTCAAACACCCTCTAGGCCCAATTCCTAAGGGTAGCAGGGAACCAATGTTAGCTGAGTTTTATTATGTGTTTACAATATGTAGTTAATAAACCCATTTTGCAGATGGAAAAAGAAAATACTCAGAGAGGTCAAGATGTTCAAAGCTTCTTACCTTGTAAGTGACTGAATTGGATTTCCAGCTGTAGCTGAAGATTCCCTAGAGACTTTCTATATGTTGTTGTTAAGTGCCATTGAATCTGTTTCAATTCATTGCATCCCTGTGTAGGGTTTCCAAGGAGCAGCTGGTGGATTTGAACTACTGACCTTGTGGTCTGTCAGTGCTGATCCTACAGCGCCACACCTGGAATCCAGTTGTTAAGTGCCGTCAAGTCTGTTCCAACTCACAGCGGCTCTGTATAGGGTTTCCACAGAGCGGCTGGTGAGCTTGAACTACCAACCTTGTGGTTCACATCGACCTTGCAGTCGTCCAGCGCATTAACCCACAGTGTCACACCAAGATTCCTGACATAGCATTTTATTGGTTGTAAAATTTCTACACATTATCAAGCACTGCTCCTGGAGGTGACCTGTGTGTCTGGAGTGGTGTGCATGCGTAGGATAGTTTGCATAGCAGCGTGTTTGTTTAAGACTTAGAAGAGATACCACCAGAATTCTCCTTAGAAGTGAGGATGCAGAGACTTCAGGTTGCTTATTTTGTACACATCTTCAGGAAGACCAATCACTAAGAAAGGACAATATGGCTGGTAAAGTAGCGGGTCAGCAAGAAGGAGGAAAGTTGCCCGTGATGTGAGTTGGTATAACAGCTAAAACAATGAACTTAAACCTATCCAAGTCATGAAGATGGCACAGAACCGGGTAACGTTTTATTTTGTTACACCCAAGCTTACACCATGAGGTGGAACCCACTCAACGACTAACAAATGGTAGTTTGTTGGGTCGATTTTTGAGACAGTTCGTACATTAACTAGTGTTTTTCTCTGGACTTTTCTGTGGCAACATTGGTCTTTTTGTTTCAGTTTGAAAGACGCAAAGAACATTCTCTCATAATGATATTGATTAAGCAATTGTTTTATTTCAGTGAAGAAAATATTTGGAAGCTCTGTGAATACATCAGAAATCACGATCAGTATCCTTTAGAAGAGTGTTACGCTGTCTTCATATCTAATGAGAGGAAGATGGTAAGTTGACTGAGGGATTGCAGAAAGAAAAGCTGAGGTTTAGGATGGTGTCGGAGCTAAATGAAGCATGGATTTAGTACTGTTCTAACATGTGCTTTAGAAAAGTTCAGAAACACTTTAGAGTTTGTTTTTGAATGAGATTTTTTTCCTTACAGGGCACAGTTGAGTCAGAAGAGTTTAGTCCCTTATTTGTAGGTAAGGAAATACCTGATGCTGTATATATACAGACTAAGTCCCTTCCCTTAGACATTCATTTAGAGCTCTTTAGGTGTTTACATTAGAGCCATACTTTCAGGTTTGAAGTAAAGAATTTTCTCTGGAGTTCAAACAGAACTACGGTAAGTTTAGGGGAAGTATTTGTTTAAAGATGTAAGCCCTTCTTAATTCGTGGAGCACTTTTGCAAGCATCATCTCATTTGCTCCTACTGGAAATCCTGTGAAATAGGTAGGACTCAGACACCCTTCTCTGTTTATGGATGAGGAAATCGAGGCACAGGGAGGGCCATTGATGGCCAGCTTCAACCAGCGGCAGACCCCAGGAATAATTAAGTAGGAATGCAAGACTTGAACTTGTCCTGTCACCTGACTCGTAGTTCAGTGTCCTTCCTACTCTCGAAAGAACATCATGAAAGGAATTTTTGCTGTTGCGAGCTTTCATGGTTAAGGACACTCGAGAGTATTTGGATTTCTTTATTCTTCAGCCTTGATGGCTGGTTGCTTACACATATTTCATTTCTCATTTACATATTGACATAAAGAATTTATTGGTGACTTAAGGAAAGCTGTAACTCATGAAAGCTATTGTCTTTCCTAGATTCCTATTTGGAAACAACAGACGAGACCTGGAGATGGACCTGTGATTTGGGTAAGACGGCCAATGCAGTGCCTGTGGGCATTCTTGCCTGCCACCCTGAGTGGTCTTTATGTTTTGGTGAGCAGGGCAGCAGAGAAAAGCTGTGCTAATTATTACTAAATTAGTCTTATGAGCATAGAGATGATTTGGTGTAAGGTCGAAGCAGTTACAGGAATGATTGTTTAACTTTATGTTTGAAATTATAATGGGAGTGATTTCCATGGCTGATGATTTATCTGTGATCTCACTGAACTGTATACTGCAAGGTTGGCGGTTTGAGCCCACCAGCTGCTCTGTGGGAGAAGACAAGGCTTCAGAAACCCTCTACAGGTTGCGATGAGTCAGACCAACTTGATGGCTGAGGGTTTGATTTTTTTGAGACTCTTACCCAGTCATCACTGGCAAGAACTTTGGAATCATCTGGAGTCCACGTTGGAATCATCTAGAGGCTGTTAAAAGTCAAGATTCCTATGCAGTAGCTCTGGAGAGGAGCTTGTGCGCTGTTGGTGATGCAGTGGTACAATCCTCGCCTTCCGTACGGGAGTGCCGGGTTTGATCCTGGACAATGGGCCTCATGTCCAGCCACTACCTGTCTGTCTGTCTGTGGGCAGTGGTTTCTGTGCTGCTGTGATGCTGAGTGGGCTGGAGCCGATCTTCTGGGCTGAGGTGGACAACTTGTGGTCTACTTACAAAAACCAGTGACTGAACCCTGTAGATGACAGTGGTCGATCTGCTACCAATCCTGGGGATGGCACAGTGTTACCTTCTGTTGTGCATGGGGTGGCTATGAGTCAGCTGACTCGACAGCACCTAACAACAACAACAACAACAACAACAACAACTCACCCCTGCTGCAGACTGGCTGCCCCAGCAGTCATCCTGCCTGCTGAAATGCCCCTGAAATGGGCTGGAAAAGGACCTGTGTTCTTGTCATCTCTGCGCAGCAGCGCATGGTGGCTTAGGGTGGGGAATCCTGTTGTAAGAAGTCTCTCTTACCCCAGGTCAGTTTGTCTGCCTTGCTGGGTGGGAAATGGGTTGGCAACAGGGTATAAGTCACAGTGCCTGCAGGAGCAGGTCACCATATAATTGGATGTCCTGCCTCCTAACCCCACCTGAAGTCACCTCCGTTCAGCTCCCCCTTGGGCCCTGGAGGCGAGCCAGAATGTAGGCCTGCTCACCCTTAAGCTCCCCACTCACTCCTCTGGGAGCTCTTGGAAAGTGAGGACTTAGTCATGTTTTTTTTATCGCTGTATCTGCAGTTAAATGGCACAGTTTCCTACAAATAAAAAGAATTCTAAAGTTCCTGTCAGCGCAGACTAGATAAGTCTCAAAAAAAATCTAACCCTCAGCCATCAGGTACATTGATTTCGACTTATAGCAATCCTCTAAGATAGAATGGAACTGTTCCTTAGCGTTTCAGGGACTTGAAAAAGAACAGTAGCTGTAATATGAGGCAGAAGGTGTTCAGAGAGAAACGAATTTTGAAGAAAGAAGAGATTACTTCTGGTAGGGTAGGGGAAGGTCAGAAGTAGACTGGTGAGGAGAAAACACTCGAACCTAAGGTTGAGAGATGGGTTTAGGGAGATCGGTTGCAGGCAAAGGGACTAAGTGGAGCCCTGCGGAAGGAAACGGGTTGTTGGAAGGGAAGCCCTGCTTCTGTGCATCTGTCTGGAGGTCAGGATGCAGTAACGAGAGCAGAGGGAGTAAGCATTCGTCTCTGATACTATTTCTGCTTTCCTAAGATCGACTGGAGCTAAGGTAGAGCTGGAGTTGGATGAAGCACTTTAAGCTCAGATGGTACATCATCCTTAGTCCCAGTTGATTTTCTTTTTCCAGGGTTTTTGTGGGGGCTCAAGTGAAATACCTATCACTTGAGAAAGTGCTTTGTAAACTCAAAAGTCCTAGAGAATTGGAAGCTGGTGGCAGGAATGTTGTTAGAGTGAAGTGTGTATCTTACACTGCTGTTACTTTCTTCTGACGAGTTCAGAGCCCCAGAGACTGCTCTCCTCTCCCTTGATTGTTGTTGTGAAGTGCCATCAAGTCGGTTCTGACTCATAGCGACCAGTATACGGCTTCCTAGGAGCGGCTGGTCAGTTTGAACTACCGACTTGTGGTCAAGTGTTTTATCTACAGCGCCACACCAGGACTCCTGTCCCTTGATGTTATTGTTGTTATTAGGTGCCATTGAGTTGGTACTGACTGATAGTGACCCTGTGCACAACAGAATGAAACACTGTGTGGTCCTGGGCCGACCACACAATTGTTGCCACGCTTGAGCCCATTGATGCTGCCACTAGGCCAGTCCATCTCGCTGGGGGTCTTCCTCTTTTTCTCTGACCCTGCACCTTACCCGACATGCTATTTTGATAAGCTCCTGATAATCTTTGGCAGCTGCAGCAGATGGTAGTCTGGGAGTGAGACTGAACGCACCACACGTGTGAGAGAGCCACATGGAGAAGCGGTCGTTGTCGGGCTCCCTTAATGGCTGTAGATTAGGGTGTGGCTGCCTTTTTATTTTTAAATTATTTTTTTCCTTTAGATTATTAAAGTAGTGTAGTACAGAAATATAATAAACGAGACATTACAAGCCTTTCTTCCTCTCTGCAGGCTGACCCTTGTTGTTGTTAAGTGCAATTGAACCGGTTCCAACTCATAGTGATACTGTGAAAGGTTTCTGAGGAGCTACTGGTGGATTTGAACCACTGACCTTGTGGTTAGCAGTCCAGTGCATATCCCACAATACCACACTCCTGAAAAGTCCCTTTTGGAAAACAAACTTATGGTGTGATAGAGACTGGTGGAATTCCCCCTATCTCCCACGGAGACTATGATCTTTAGATAGCTTTCAAGCCTGAAACAGAATCCACCCCTATGGTTTAACTTTCAGCTGAATGATGAAAGACCGACAAGGTGAACAGTAACACCAGGGAGGTATACACCCTGAAGAACAACCAACCATACGACATCAGAAAGGTAGCATTTGCTCAGAAACCCTGCGGGAAGGAATGCTGAGTGGAAGCAGGAAGCTCAGGGAGGAGAGTGAAGAGACCTGTTACACTGAGGAGATCGCAGCCAATGTCACAAACAATATGTGTATCAGTTGTTGTATGGAAAGTAATTTGCTATGTAAACTCTTCCAAGCCACAATAAGTAGTTCAACAAAAAATGTTCTTTAAAAACAACAATTTGGAGACTATTCTTGAACATTTTTCTCTGTATTCATGCATGTCCTCATGCTACGTGTAGGTAGGTTGTTTTAAGTGCCATGGAGTCGGTTGTGACTCACAGTGACCCTGTAGAGGGTTTCTGAGGCTGTCACTTGTTGCAGGAGCAGAAAGCCTCCTTTGTCTCCCACAGAGCAGCTGGTGGGCTGAAACTGCCGACCTTGTGGTTTACAGTCCGGTGCTTATCGTCTGGAGCCACCATGCTCCCTCATGCATAGGGCTTTTAAAAAATAATATTTAATAACTATTCTGCAGTTTGCTTTTTACATCCAACTATATAATGTAGATGTTTTTCCACTTTTCATATAAATTTGCCTAATTCTTTTAGGAGCTGCATAGTCCATTAGAGGATTGTATCACTGTTTATGACCCATTCTCCTCTTGATGGACCTACACGTGTTACTGTATTTTCATGATGAAGCAGCGCTGCAGTGATTTCATTGTATCTGTACCTTTACTAGCATACAGACATTTTTCTGTAGGGTCGATTCTTACAGGTAAAATTGCTGGGTCAGAGGGTCTTCATTTACTCTATCTGAGCATTTCCATTATTTATTTAATCCTTCCTTGTCACCGCTTAGTCTATTATCAAGGTTTTGTGTTTGCTTTATTTTATTTTGCTGTTAGGTTGTTGTATGCTCTTAAGTCAGTTTCAACTCATAGTGACCCACTGGACTGCTAACCACAAGGTTGGCAGTTCAAACCCACCAGTTGCTCCTCGGAAGCCCTATACAGGTTTGCTATGAGTCAGAACTGACTCGACAGCACTTAACACCAACAATAACAAGGCAAAGTAGAACTGCCCCAGAATGTTTCCACGCCTACGATATTTACGGACGTAAACTATCACGTCTCTCTCCCTCAGAGCAGCTACTGAGTTTGAACTGTTGAACTTTTGGTTAATAGCCAAATGCTTAACCATTACATCACCAGGGTTCCTTTTTGATGTTAAAAAGAAGGTTGTATTAGTCTTGTATCTGGTTTTCATAATACATATGACATTCTTGAAGGTCATAATAATGGTAGAGATCTTGCCTTCTGTGCAGGAGACGCAGCTTTCATTTCCAGCCAGTGCACCTTGTCTCTGTCACTGGAGGCTTGTGTGTTGCATGGTGTTGAACAGGTTTTAGCGGAGCTTCCAGACAAAGACGAGGAAGAAAAACCTGGTGATCTATTTTGATCTACTTCTGAAAACCAGCCACTGAAAGCCTTATGGATCACAGCCATCTGATCTTGTCACACATGGGGTTGCCAGGAGTGGGGAATCCTGCCAGACAGCAGCTAACAATAGCATTATTACTGCATCTTGGCTTTCACCCTCATAAAACAAGTTGTTTAACTTCAGCAACTTTTACTTCTAGGATTACCATGTTATTTTGCTTCATGTCTCAAGTGGAGGACTGAGCTTCATTTATGATCTTGATACTGTCTTGCCATTTCCTTGCCCCTTTGAAACTTACGTGAAGGCTGCCTTCAAGTCTGATGATGACATTCATCCACAGTTTAGAAGGTGAGAGCATTCTGAGTGGGTTTGCTTGTTTTCTGAAGATCTGATGGCTAGACAGAGTTTTTTACATTTGTTTTTTAAAAATCGTTTGTCTTTGCATCACTATTGAGTTGATATTTGAGAATGATTTGCTCCGTAGAAAAATTGCAAGGTTTTAAAGCTTTAAGTGTGCGCCATTATATAAAAGCAAGATCAGCGGTTCAAACCTACCAGGCACTCCTTGGAAACCCTGTGCAGTGTTGCTGAGTCAGAACCGACTCGATGGCACATAACAACAGTAATACAAAAGGTTGGTAGTCACTTAAAAACTGTCTGATGAGATCTCAGAAATTTTCTTCCAGGCATGTTGGAAATTTCTCTCAGACTCTTGTCTGTGGGGGAAATGTTTTGCACCAGTCAAATTGAGAGGGTTTTATGCACGTGATTAGTAAACCCTCTTCCCTATTTGCTATAGAGGAAATAAAGGTGATCATATAGATTTTGGCTTCTTTGTAGTGTATAGGAACTTTGTATTCGTTTCTCAAAGCATACACTAAATAACATAATGATACGTATTTGTTGTTGGCGGCCCTGTATAATAAGGTTTTCTGAGAAGCATCAGGGGAGTTTGAACCACCGATTTTGAGGTTCAAACTGACCTATGATAGAGTGCTTATTCTAAAGCACCATATCAGGATGGCAATGTATATTTAAGAACATATATGTATGTTACATAATATTAGTGGTGTTAAGTGCCGTTGAGGTGGTTCCAACTCATAGCAGCCCTGTATAGGGTTTCCAAGGAATGACTGGTGGGTTTGAACTGCTTACCTTGTGGTGAGTAGTCAGTGCTTATCCTACAGCATCACACCAGAACTCCATATTGTATAATGTTGTTGTTAAGTACTGTCGAATTGGTTCTGACTCATAGCCACCCTGTATAGGATTCCCAAGGCTTTTTAAATTTTGTGGGAGCAGAAAACTTCACCTTTCTCTTGTAGAGTGACTGGCGGGCTTGAACTGCGGACCTTGTGGTTCACAGTCCACTGCTTATCCTATGAAGGCACCACAATCCCCATATTGTGTAATTGTTGTTAAGTATCGTCACGTTGATTCCAATTTGTAGCGACCTTGTATAGGGTTTCCAAGGAGTGGCTGGGAAGTTTGAACTGTCAACCTTGTTGTTTAAACAGACCTTGTGGTCCAGTGCTTTAGCCCACAGCGCCGTACCAGGATTCCATATTGTATAATTGCTGTTGTTGTTGTTGTTAAGTGCCATTGAGTCAACTCCGACTCTTAGCGACCCAGGTGTCTGAGGAGTGACTGATGAGTTTGAATCGCTGCCTTTGTGGTTCAAACCAACCTTGCAGTCCTGTACTTACCTACAGAGCCACACCAGAAGTCCCACATCGTATACTGGGTGTAAATGAGTACAAAGCATATAGCATATAATGTATTACATAGCATATGCTTTTGGAATATATATGTAAAATGTATTACTGCATCATACTGTTAAGTGCCATCGAGAGGAATGCTTGGTGGGTTTGAACTGCCAGCCTTTTGGTTAGCAGTCCAGTGCTTATCCTACAGTGCCACACCAGGACTCTTGGATCATAGATCCATCATGCTGCTGTAGTTGAGTACCGTTGAGTCGGTTGGTTCCAACTCATAGTGACCCTGTATAGGGCTTCTGAAGGGCAGCTGGTGAGTTTGAACATCTAACCTTGCAGTTCAAACCGACCTTTCCAGTCTAGTGCTTTCTCCTACAAGGCCACAACAGGACTCCATCCAGCATACTAGCTAGAGGGCTTCCAAAATTCATGGAAAACTGGAATGAAAAGATAATGGAATTTTTCCATGAACTTTTTGAGGCCCCCTTGTATAATATGCTCTCGGAAGAATATTTATTATGTTATATATTGTTTTATCTAATGCAGCACTGTAGGATAAGCACTGGACCACAAGGTTGGTCTGAGCCTCAAGATTGGAGGTTCAAACCCACCAGTCGCTCCTTGGAAATCCTATGCAAGGCTGCTATGAGTCAGAACTGACTTGAGGGCACTTAACAACAACATCTACAATTTAAACACACACGCACGCGCACACACACACGCACACACACGCACACACACGCACACACACATATGTGCTTTAGGAGGCGCTCCATAGTGTACTGTTACTCATTAAGGTTATTTTTTGTGACGCCGTATTCAGTCCCAAAGAGCTGCCACACACATGCTTTGCAGGTTACAGCAACCAGTTTGGTGCTGCTGTGGGCCCTCGCGTGTGTAGGGAAATGTGAATATTATGCCATTACTAATAATTTAAAGTTACAGGAAATGAGGAAGGGCACGTGTGTGTATATGTGTGTTATCTTCTCTTAATGTTTTCTTTGTCTTTTGTGTAAAGGAGGGATAGGAATTGGCTGTGGATAAGCACTGGACTGCAAGGGTGGTTTGAATTGCAAGGTCGGTGGTTCAAATCCACCAGCTGCTCCTCAGAAACCCTATACAGGGAATCTTTGGGTCAGAACCGACTCAACGGCACTAAACAACAACAACATAGTTACAAGGGGGCTACAAAAGGTTTGTGAGAAAACGGAATGCAAGGATAATGGAATTTTCCCTTGAACGTTTGGAAGCTCTCTCGTGTACGACTTGGTTTGAGGAAACCAGACTGAAGTGGAGGATGTTGAGATGAACAGTTTTACAGACTTGTCCCAGCACCAGCCACTAGGCTCAGTTTTTCAGGAAGTTTCCTGAGCTTTGGGCTGAGCTCACCAACTTTGTTCCCCTTTCTTTCTGAGCTCTTGGTGCCATTATCCCAGGAGCTCTAGTTCTCATTGTGTTACAAAAAAAGCAGCTCCTTTGAAGTGAGTGTGAGGACCAGAGTTATGTATGTGGGTATGTTGTAGTGCCTCTTGGGGGATTGACAGGCAGACACTTATTTGTTACATACTGATCTTTTTAAGTAACAAGTGCCTGCCCGTAGTAATTGTGATCCTGAGTGGCCTCTTTGAATCCATTATCAAGGACAGGAGTATGGTTTCTAGGATCTGTTATGTACATTTAACACTGTGATTGATGGAGCTTTGTTAAATTGTGTTGTGGGTGTTGTCAAGTCAGTTCTGAGTCCTAGTGAACCCATTTGACATAGTAGAACTGACACTGTAGGGTTTGACAGACTCTACGGGGTTAGACATCCAGGCTTTTCTCCCGCAGAACCACTGGGTGGGTTTGAACTGTCAGCATTTTGGTTACTTAAGTGCTTACCATTGTTCCACCAGGAAGAGCACAGCATAGAAAACCCTATGGAGCCGTTTCACTTTATCACAGAATCTAAATCAACCTGATGACAATAACATTAGATTGTAAACAGGGTAGAAAGACTCCCAAAGGCCATAGAAATAAAACATGCAAATTAAAATCTTAATTGCCTTATACCCAAAACTGGAGTTGCAAAGCTTGTGTAACAGGCCCCTAGTGGAACTTGTGGTCTTGGAGTTGGAGGAAGCGAGCATTAACCTCACTCTAGGGGACCATCACGAGATGGCCAGATAGCCACAGCCAGATGTGTGGTTAGAGTCAAAACAGAGAAAGATGAATAGAGGGTTCAGTAAAGTGTCCCGAACTCTGATGGGGTGGACACTTTGGGGGATCAGAGCAGTCTTTCCACCACATGACTTGCTGACTTTTGAATTTGGTGGGAAATTTAAACACCTACAAAGGCACAATACCTGCTACTTTCCATGCATCCTGCCTCATTTGCTAATAATTTCTGGCTAGTTCTTCTTGCTTCTATAATCTAAACCACTGTCCCCTACCCCCTGACATAATTTCATTTGTAAGTATTTCATATATATTTATTTTAAAATGAGGTCTTTTTAATGAACCATAAACACAGTTCTGTTGCCGTGCCAACCGATGAGCAGGATTTGTTAGTATAATAAAAAAAAAACTTGGAAAGGATACTCAGAATCACTGTAGCAAAAAGAAATGGTTGATGTTCAGCCATTTCAAGAGGTAGCTTGTGGTCAAGAGCCAATGATACTGAAGGAAGAAGTCCACTCTGCACTGAAGGCATTGGCAAAGAAAAAGGCTCCAGGAATTGATGGAATGCAAATTGAAATCTTTCAACAAACTGAGGCAGCATTGGAGGCACTCACTAAACTATGTCAAGAAATTTGGAGGAGAGCTACTTGGTCAAATGATTGGAAGAGATCCATATTTGTGCCCATTCCAAAGAGGTGACCCAATGGAATGTGGAAGTCATGGGACAATATCACTAATAACACATGCAAGTGAAATTTTGCTAAAGTTAATTCAAAAACAGCAGCAAAAGTATAGTTCATTGTAAGGGAACTGCCAGAGCGTTAAGCCAGATTCAGACTCAGATGTGAAATGAGGGAAATCGTTGCTCATGTCAGATGAATCTTGACTGAAAGCAGAGAATACCAGAAAGGTGTTCACCTGTGCTTTATTGACTATGTAAAGGCTTTTGACTGTGTTCATCATGGCAAGCTGTGAACCACATTGCAGAGGAGTAGTATTCCAGAACGCTTAGTTGTGTACGTGAGGACTTTGTACATAGACAAAGCAGCAGTAGTTTGAACAGAACAAGGGGACACTGAATGGTTTAAAATCAGGAAAGGTGTGTAGCAGGGTTGTAGTCTTTCACCATACTTACTCAATTTGTATGCTGAGCAAATTATCTGAGAAGTTGGACTATATGAAGAAAAACATGGCATAAAGATTGGAGGTAGACTCATTAACAACTTGTGATATGCAGATGATGCTTGCTAAAAACAGAGAGAACTTAAAATATTTACTGGTGAAGATCAAAGACCACAGCCTTTTATATGGGTTGTACCTCAATGTAAAGAAAAGAAAAATCATCACCATTGGATCAGTAAATAACATTATGATAAATGGAGAAAAGATTGAAATTGTCAAGACTTCATTTGCTTAGATCCACTATGAATACTCATGGAAGCAGCAGTCAAGAAATCAAACAATGTATTATACTGGGCAAATCTGCTACACAAGACCTCTTTAAAGTGTTCAAGAACAAAGATGTCAGTTTGAGGACTAAAGTGTACCTGACCCAACCATAGTATTTTTAATAGCCTCATATGCTTGTACAAGTTGGAAAACCATAGAATTGATACAGCTGAATTATGGTGTTGGAGAAGACTATTAAAAGTACCGTGAACTTCTGGAAAAACAGACAACTCTGTTGGAAGAAACACAATCAGAATGCTCTTTGGAAGCTAGGATGATGGGACTTTGTCTCTCACACTTAAGACATGTTGTCAAGAGGGACTAGCTCTTGGAGAAGGATATAATGCTAGGTAAAGTGGAAGGTCAATGAAAAAGAGGAAGACCCCCCAAACAAGATGGGTTCAAACTGAACGATGATTGTGAGGGTGACTGAGGACCGGGCAGTGTTTCTCATTCTGTTATGCATAAGGTTGCTATGAGTCGTAATCGACTCTAGGCGGCATCTGGCACCTAACAACAATAGCTGTTGTTTCTTCTATAATCTAAGCCACCATACCCCAGATATCATTTCATCTTTAAGTATTACATATACATTAAAGTGAGGTCTTTTTAATGAAATATGGACACAATTCCATTAAGAAATGAGCAGGATTCCTTAGTATCATCAAATAACCAGCCTGAATCACTTTTGATGTCTTCAGTTAATAACAAAAAATTTTTGCTTCAATTGAAATTCTCCAAAACGGAAAACAGAATTGTGAAAAACGGATTTTTGTTGTTGTTGTTGTTAAGTGCCATTGAATCAATTCCGTCTCATAGTGACCCTGTATTGGGTTTCCAAGGAGCAGCTGGTGAGTTTGAACTGCTGACCTTGCAGTCTAGTGCTTATGAGGAGTCATTTTTGATTGAAGGATATTAATCACATTATAACAAGGCTTATTGAGCACTTGCTGTGTGCCGCGCGTCATCCTAAATGCTTTCCATATGTTACAGTAGTTCATCTTCCCAGCAGCTCTCGGGACAGCTCCTCTCAGTAAGCCCATTTTGTAGAGGAGAAAATTGAGTCACAGACAGCTTAAAAACATGCCCAATCTACTAACTGATAGACTCACTCATACAGTTTAACTGTGCAACTAACTCTTGGTTTTAGTTGTTTGTTTTCAATTTGTCTGTCTCTGGTTGAGTTTTACTGTTGTTGTCAGCTGTTTGAAATATTTATCAGTGAAATTTACTAGAAATGGGTGAAATGGGCAATTGGGGAAACTGGCAAAGTATATATTTCAAACCCCTTAAGATTCATAGAGCCAAGGATTTCACTGGGTCATTTCCCAAGGCTTCGTTAACAGATAGTAAAGCCACATTACACATAGAACACAGGCGTCCTGGTGTGGCGCTGTAGAATAAGGCCTGCGCTGCTAACCATGAGGTTGGTAGTTCAAACTCACTAGCTACTTCTTAGAACCCCTATGCAGGGTCACTGTGAGTCAGACTCACTTGACAACACATAACAAAAGAATTTAAGTATATACACTTTGAAAATGAGCCCATGTAAACATGGAGCTAGAATTTCAATATGTCACTTCCCTAATCTAAGTGTGTGTTGATGTATTGGCAGGAAATTTAGAGTGATCCGCTCAGATTTGTATTTGAAGCACTTTGCTTCTGACCGTTCTCACATGAAAGATTCCAGCGGGAACTGGAAAGAGCCGCCGCCACCATATCCCTGCATTGAAACTGGAGGTAAGCTGCGGGTTTCTTTCCAGGGGGGCTGCGGTCATGGTGTGTACAGGTCAACATGGTTTCTTACACAAGGACTGAAGTCGGGCTGTTCTTTGGATCAAAGTCCCTGAGTGGCAAGGAGGTTAAGAGGGGGGCCTAGTTCTGTATTTTTATTTACTTCTGAAACTGAAGCACAGAGACCAGGTCTGGCAGGCATAAGGACTTATAGGAGAGGAAAGGTGTTCAGGAGCAGAGCTTCATTGCTGCTCGGACACTGAATGTACCTACTGCCGGTAGTGGCACAGTGGTAGGTCTCACCTTTGAGGGAGACCCAGGTTTAATTCCTGGGAGCTCAAATGTAGCTACCACCCATCTGCCAGTGGAGGCTTGTGTGTTACCATGATGCTGAGCAGTTTTCAACAGAGCTTCCAGACTCAGATGGATGAGGAAGAAAGGCCTGGCAATATTCTGAAAATCAGCCAGTGAAAACCCTATGGATCACAGTGGTCTGTTCTGCAGCCAATCATGGGGATGGCACCGAACAGGACAGCGTTTTGTTCCATTGTGCTTGGGGTGACCATGTGCCAGGGGCCAACTTTATGTCAGTTACCAACAACATCCAGAGAGACAATGGACGTGTGCCATTTAACAATGGGACTAGTAGCACCTTACCATGGTGGAGTCTCATGTTGTGGAGATAAAACTTTCATGGGCATCCTTACGGTGTGTGATTGGTCCTGCATTTCAGGGAGGTGAGATCTAGCAGGGTTTACTGTACCGCTTATCTCATTTAAGTGCTTTTAGGCACCATTCCAATTTGTCATTTCTGAGATTCACAAAGATCAAGGGACGCTAACCTATCGCTATTGTTTGGCATCCATACGAATTGGAAACAATACACAGTTGTTAGTAATTCACAGCATTGCTGTCTGTTGCTGAGGTCATTCCATCACTGTAAGCTGTAAGTTGAGCCACTTCCCAAGAAAATAGGGGGGCTGTGTTAGTATCTCAGTAAGGAAGAAAGGAAAACACATGTTTGACATATCTGAAGGCAGTTCACACTAAAGAAGATTCAAACTCTTCTTTTCTAGGATCTCTGTGAAACGTTCTTTTAATGGACTTGCTTGTTGGTTCACCAACCTGCTTCTTCCCAGCTTTATTGTTAGAATTGGGACAGCTCTAGATTAGGCGGGGAACTGCATGGATCTGCCACGTCTCTCTGGTCACTAATGTTGCTATAACAGAAATACCACAAGGGGTGACTTTAACACATGGAATTTTATTTTCTCAGCGTTTTAGTGGCCAAACGTCCAAATCAGGGTCTTGGCCTCTGTGGGCCCCTCTACTTAGTTTCTGGTGTCTCTTGGCATTTCTTGGCTTGTAGATGGTTCCTCATATGGCATCTGTCAACCCTCTGTGTGAGTTTGTATTTATTCTGTTCTCTTTAGAAGTTTAGGACCCACCATACTTCCCAACAACCTCATTAATATAACAGAAGAAAACCTCTCATCTCAAACAGGGTCGTGTTTACAGATTCAGGGGTTAGGATGTCACCTTTTGGGTGCACACAATCCATAGTGACCTCTTAGTTTATCTCTTTTGTTATGTCTCTAAATTCATTCATCTGTTATATTAGCAATATGCTATGAATCCTGTCCAGTGTGTTTTTTTCTTCATTTTTACATGGTTTATTTAGTTTTTATTTATTCTATTTCTAGAAGAGTCAAGGGGGACTTATTTGCTCCCTGCCATTTATTTCTCTTGCATCATGTTCACCTTTTGGAATGTATGAAGCATAGTTACAGGAGCTGTCTTATGGCTCTTGCTGCAGTATCTGTGGCGTTTCTATTTTTTGCTGCTTGATTTTTTTTTTTTCCTCCTGGCATAGGTCATATTTTCCTGCTTCTTTGTGTGATTTATAACATTAGATGGGATGCTGGACTTGAAGGTTTTGTGTTGTGGTTGCTAGACTTTGAGACATTCTTAAAAACAGTGTCGGTTTTTGTCCTGGTGTGCAGTGAAATTCCTTAGACTCGGTTGCATTCTTTTGAGGCTTTCTTTTAAGGTTTTAAAGGAGCCCTGGTGGCGCAGTAGGTTAAATGGTGGGCAACTAACCCACCGATGACTAGTTTGAACCCACCAGCTGTTCCACGGAAGAAAGACAAGACACTCTGCTTCTGTGAAGATTGACAGCCTTGGAAACCCTATGGGGCAGTGCTCCTCTGACCTGTAGGGTTGCTGTGAGTTGTAGACGTGATGTCAGTAGGTTTATGCTTTTTAAGCACAAATTCAGAAAAGCCTTTAATATAGTGCAAATTTAGCCCCTTGTGAGGGATCTACCAAATGCCCGTGTGTTACAGCTTCTCTCCACTCTGGCTAGTGGGAAAATGAATTAGTTGAATGGGTTTGTTAGGTCTACTGTTTTCTGGTAAGGAGCCCCAGTAGCATAGTGGATAAGCCCTACCTACTAACCAGTACATTGGCAGTTCAAATCCACCAGCTACTCGGCAGGAGAAAGCTGTAGCAGTCGGCTCTGTAAAGATTACAGCCTTGGGAAGCCCTGTGGGTGCGGCACCTCTGTTCTGTCTTACAGGGTCACTATAAGTAGGTCACCAGGAAGTTTTAAGCTTTTTTAATAGAAGTTCAGAACAGCTTTTAATGTAGTGCTAACGGATCCCTGTGGAAGATCAGTGAAATGATCAGACCTGTGACTGGGAATCAACTCAATGACACTGGGTTTTTCTTTCTGGGGGTTCTGTCCCTGGCTTCAGGAAATGTCCTGTGCACACGATGATCGCTGCTTAGCCAGTAACTCAGTTCTAGGATCTCTGTGTGCCACTCCCTCCCTTCTATACACCTATCTCTGTGTCCTCAGCTCAGAGACATTGCTGTGCGGGGGCACCCATCTCTGCGCTATGGTCTGGAAGCTGCTCCTGGCGGTGAGCTGGGAGGGTTGTCGGTTCCCCAGGCTTGTTCCAGGTTTTTCAGGGATCACAAGGTGCTGCCTGTTGCCAGTGTGTGGAGACAGTTCCTTATATGTTTGGTCCCATTTTTCTCATTGTTTAGGGTGGGGTTGCAGGCGGTGCTGTAGGATAAAGCATTGGATTGGACTACAAGGCCGGTTTGAACTGCAGGACTGGTGGTTTAAACCTACCAGCCATTTCTTGGAAACCCTATACTGGGTCTCTAAGAGTCAGAACCGACTTGATGGCACTTAACAAAAATAGTGGTGGGGGGGTGGGGGTGAGGGGTGATTGTGCAGTAATAGTGGTGTTGGTGCCATAGTTCTGGGCAGGAGCAGGAGTCTGTATATTGTGTCTTAAAAAGTTTTAGTTAAAGTCGTATGTACAACCGTACAGAACAGTCGATCAGCCCTTTAATGGTTCCTGTCTCATGGTTAGTCTGGTTCATTTATGCCCCACCTCTCTCCCTGCTTTTACATTACTTTGAAGCAAATCCTGGATATGATCTCATTTTGCCTGTTAACATTTCAGCATGTATGTCTAAAACATAAGGATTTAGAAAAAAAATTTGAGCATGACCATAATGTTGTTGTTGTTAAGTGCCGTCGAGTCAGTTCCGACCCATAGCGACCCTGTACAGGGTTTCCGAGGGTGTAAATCTTTACGGGAGTAGAAAGCCTCATCTTTCTCCCGCAGACCATAATACCGTATCACATTAAAAATAAACAACAACTCAGAAAACCCTAAAGCAGTAATTTCTGAAAATTATCATATCTAGTCAGTAGTCAAGTTTTGATTGCTCATCAAGCCATAGTGTTTTTCCATGCAGTTGGTTTATTAGAGTTAGCATCTGCATAATCTGTGTATTACACTTGATTGACATACGTCTCCAGTCTTTTTAAACATAGAGAGCCCTGGTCAACTCTTATTTTTCTTTTCTTGTAATTTATTTGTTGAAGAAACTGGGAAATTTGTCCTTTAGGACTTCCCACAGTCTGGGTTTGCTGATCGTATCTCTGCTGCTTCCTTTGAATTTCCTGTAAATTGGTAGTTGAAGCCAATAAATTGGCAGTTTGATTAGTCATGCATTTCTTTCACTTAATTTTTATTTTGAAATAATTTTAGACTTAAATGGAAAATTTTTTCTAACAGTACAGAGTTCTTGTGTACCCTTCACTCATATCGCACTAACGTTACGTCTCATGTAACCACAGTACAATGATTGAATCCAGAACATTTACATAATACAGTGGTGTGATGCACTTCTGTGAACTAGCAAGGTCCCTAGATGTGCTGCAAATGGCTGTGATCAGCTGCTAACTGAAAGACGGGTAGTTTGAGCCCACCCAGCAATACTGTGGAAGAAAAGACCTGGCTTCCGTTAATATTCCCTAATCTTTTTCCAGTAGGATTTTACCAAGAAAACCGTATGGAACAGTCCTACTCTGCAGCACATGGGTTGCCATGTGACATTTAACAGCAGCTGTACAGCTTACTCAAATTTCACACGTTTTCCCACTAAGTTACTTTTTCCTGCTCCTGCTCAGGGTCCTATATTGGCATGTATTTGCCCTGACTTTTCAGTCTTCTCAAATCTGGGACAATTGTTATCATTATTATTTTGTCTTTCACGTTTACACTTTGTACTTTACACAAGGTCAGCAGTTCAAACCCAGTAGCTGCTCCTTAGAAACCCTATCCAGTGTCACTATGAGTCAGAGTTGACTTGATGGTACTAAACAGTAACAGTAACACTTTTGAAGAGTCTGATTATTTTGGAGCATGTCTCTCAGTTTCTTTTTGTGTATTGTTTTGTCATGATTCGATTGAAATTATATGTTTGGAGCAAGACTACCCAGAACTGATACTGTACCCTTATCTATTTGCATACGTTTCCCACCCTTTGGTCTAATGCATTGCTTTATTTTAGTGTTTGTTAAAAGTTGTATATTCAGAAGAAATTTCTTTCATTTATTTTTCTAGATTCCAAAATGAACCTGAATGATTTTATCAGCATGAATCCTGAGGTAGGCTGGGGAGCTATCTACACTCTGTCAGAACTTGTCCTTCGGTTTGGCAGTAAAAGCTACTGAACTTGACATCCGGATCTGAAACAGTGGAGGCCTCATTCTAGAACACAAACTTGCCATTCCTTCATTTAGGAGTGCAGTCATTATTATATATACCATTGGCTTGGAATTTTGGTTTCTGTTGTTAAATCAGTTGAGATAAAATATGAGTGAACACAAATATAATTTAACCAAATTAAAGACTTTTTTTTTTTTGGTATCTCAAGCTGCAACTTCAAATAGTATGTAGTTGCTGTTTCTACAAATCATTTGTTCGACCCTCTGACGACTTATGCTGGTGGTTACTTTGTGGTAGAGGTATGAACTTGGAGCCAGATCTCAGTATCTGTTCTGTGTGTTTCTCATCTTGCCAGCTCCACTGGAAATTCCTTGAGGGCAGGCCCATGATCCATCATCACTCTTTGATGGATCCCTGTTGCCCAAATGTGTACCAATCACCATGCTGCTGCTTGAAGAGGGATAATATTGTGAGCTAAATCAGCAAGTCCTGGTGTGGCGCTGTGGGTTAATGCTCTGGACTGCAAGGTCGTTTGAATTGCAACGTTGGTGGTTCAAGCTCACCAGTTGGTCCTTGGAAACCCTATATAGAGTCATTATGAGTCAGAACTGACTTGACAGCACTTAACAACAACAAATCAGCAATAATTAGTCTTTTTGGACTATAATGTTTTTAAGAAAAAGATGATAGTCCTCTCAGTAGTGAGTATCACATGGGCTGTTTAAATATGTTTGTAAATAAAGCTGGTTTAAAATTAATCTTGTTTTGAAGATTTTGCTTTACTTTCGATGATTTGAAATATTCAAGAATGTCTCATTTGTCAAGGGGAACTGTTGGTGCTCCAGATACGTTTATCATGTCAACTTTCTTGGTGATGTTTTGGATATTTGGCTTGATTTGTATTATTCCAAATAAACGCTGTTTGGCATTAAACAGGCATGCAGCATTAGCATTTGTTCACACTTTCATGTTTCCACTATAAAAGTGGGCCATTTCTCATAGCAAGGATGTACAAGCTTTAGCTCTTAGAGGAATTTCGAAGCATCCATTGACTCTAAATCCTTTGCCTTTGATGTGGAGGGCATGACTACACTCACTTACTCAAGAGTCCATCAGTCTAAGGAAATAGCACGTGTCCAATATGTTTAGCTGACCAGGAAGATTCTGGAAGAAAGTGAATGAACTTAAGGTAAAAGGAATGCAACCACACCCTATTAATGTAGTTTATAATTTAAAGCTAAATGTAGACCGACTACGTAGATATCTTCATTTAGTTTTAGGTGGCCCATTTTGAAAAGTGTGTGACTAAAATGAAGACAATTAATGTTGCCAGGCTAGACCACGGAAGTTCTTTCTCCTGGGCACAAAGTTTGAGAAGAACCCAAGGATTGTAATCCCTTTTACAAACTGTTTTTCTGGTGTTTTGTCAATGTTACGAGCAGGTTTCCCATATGGTATTCAAATGTGTGTTTAGACCCCAGTAACTGGTCTTGGAGTTGAAAGACCCACTCCTTTGGGTCAATGTAGGGAGCCAGGTTTTATTGTAAGCCTCCTCAAACACCCTGTGGATCATCATCTTGACATATTAGAAACGATATAGGACATTTATGGTGTACAGGATTTAATGACGGAAACCCTCAGGGAGATGGATTAACACAGTAGTTACAACAGTGGACTCAAAACATCCCAGCCATCAGAAAGATGGTGCCGAATTGGACAGTGCTCTCATCTGTTGCACATAAGCTTTCTATGCGTTGTAGCCAACTCACTGGCAAGTAACGAGCAAATGTCTTTCTTAGCCCACACTCCTAAAGTGTCCTTTGGGAGAACTCTGAACATGGCATGTAGCCCTGGTGAGGTGTGTTATTGTTAGGTGCAGCTGAGGTGGCTCTGGTTCTGTATGCCCAACAGAAGGAAACACCACCCAATCTAAGGCAAAGGCATAGAACCCACACTAGACCAGGTTTAGAACCCATCCCTGGTTCAGAGAGTGGTCAAAGCGTGACTGACAGTGTCTTCCACCCAATCTTCTCTACTGATGTCCAGAGAGATGGTCTCTATCCAGCAGAATTGCTAACCTCAGGGCTTCAGGGTTTGGAGCTGCCAGTGGGCCTCTTGACTGTTACAAGAAGAAGAGTCCAACTGCAGAACACAAGCAGAGCTGAGAGGAGGAGAGCCTGGACGGCATTTCTGAGCCCCTGAAGAGCTCCGCCCCGAGTTATATAATCCAGTAGATTCCTTTTTGAGTCAGCTTGTGTGAGTTGCATTTGTTATATCACTAGGTGAAATCAATTTGTTTATCTACTTGTTTGAAGTCTATTTTCTATCTCCCTTATACCAGACTGTCCACTGTTTTTGCCCTGTTCTTTACTTTAATGTCAGAACCTAGTACAGTATCGGGCATGTAGTACATGGTGTTGTTTGTAAGTGCTATCAAGTCAGTTCTGACTCTTAGCGACCCTATATAGGGTTTGCAAGGAGCAACAGGTGGGTTTGAACAGTCACCCTTGTAGTTTGCAGTCCAGTGCTGATCCTACAGTGCCACACCAGTAGTTCACGTACTCAGCAAATATTCCTCAATTACTTAGTGAAGGACCAATTCCTATTTCTAGAGGAGTCCGGCACATTCGCCCCACTGCATCTCTAATCAGGTTGTTGTTGTTGTTGTTAAGTGCCATCGAGTCGGTTCCGACCCATATTGACCCTGAACAAGGTTTCCGAGGCTGTATATCTTTATGGTAGCAGAAATCCTCATCTTTCTCCAGCGTAGCAGCTGGTAGTTTTGAACTGCTGACCTTACAGTTCGCAGCCTGAATCGTAACCACTACGCTGCAAGTCTCATCAGATAATGCCAGAAAAAATACAGCTAAATTCTTGCTTTTTGAAGTCTTCTCTTTGACTAGATTTGGATGTGTACCAGTTTTGGATTCCCTGAGTGGTGCAAGCGGTTAAGTGCTTGACTGTAAACTGAAAGGTTGGTGATTCAAATCCACCCGAGGCACCTCAGAAGAAAGACCTGGCAATTGATTTCCCAAAGATGACAGCCACTGGAAGCTTTCTGCAGCTCAGTTCTGTCTGAACATATGGGGTTGTCATGAGTCAGAGTTGACCTGAAGCTGACTGCTTTGTTTTTTTCTTTTAGTTTTGAATTATACTGCTCTTTTTAAAACAGTTTTTATTGTGAATTCTGTGGGTTTACATGGGAAAACATCAGTTTTACATTCATCCTGTCGGATTTTGTTTCATTGTAATGATTACA